CGTAGCTATATGTCCTACCTCTTTGCAAAAATAACAAACATTGGTTTCAATCAAGTAGTCGCTAGTATGAGAGGATCCACACTTATGAAAGTTTAGTCTACCATTTACCTCCACCTTCTATTGCCTTTCAAGAGCTTTAGCTCTCTCGTCATTACTCCGTCATGGTCTCACAAATGACTTCCTTTTGCCATATGACCCGCCAAATTTATTTGGTATATTCGGCATTTTGCTCGGTGGAAACCGAGTCCACTTCTATCTCAAAAGCTCCGTTGACCATCTTAGCATAATCATTTATAGATACTCGGATCGGACTTTGAATTTCTACTTTCAATCCTTGAAGGAAGTGTTCCCTCTATTGTGATGCATTCCCCGAGATAAATGTCATGAACTCGACATTCATGCTCAAATTTATGGACATGTCACCTTGTTCCACCTTGATAAATTCTTGAATTTTTTTTGGTTCTCATGGTGTTTAAAACATAATTCTCAATAAAAAAATTTCTTGAATTGCACCCATGTAAGGCGAGGCACATCCAAAGAAGTCTTAGCTAACTCCCACTAGATATACACATCTCCGATTAGTATAAAGATTGCACGAGTCACCTTCTCAGCATCCTTTGTAGCCATATGATTGAAAATCATCTCCAATGATTTCAACCATTCTTTAGTTTCCATGGGGTCGAATTACCCTAAAATCTTTTAGATTAAAATTTCAAAAATGCTCTACTAAGTCAACATGTTGCTATGGTCTAAGCAACCGCAAGATTTGGTGGTCGCATATCCATCAATCTTTGCATCGTCTCCTATCGCTGTCTAAGTAGCATTAGCAATCGCTCCTTACAATCTACTATAGTCCTACTCAAACCTACTTCATTATTAATGTTCCTCTTAGTCGGCATCCTACTTATTCATACATTCAAACACTTATACGATCACATTCCTTTCTTATTTATTCTTAAATATCATTTGGCCAATTCCTTTAAGTAATTCAATTCATAAACATACTAGCATAACACATTTCACACATACAAATCAATCATACATATTGACAACAAAATGGCACATTCATTCAATCACATTGACTTGTTTCGAGGGCCAACTTGCAGGTACTTTTTCGCTCTCCTAACATGTATTACTAGGTTAGACCTATTTAAACTACTCGATACCAGCACTATAATATCCCTAACCTAAGACCTAAATAGCTCAAGAATACTATCGTTGCTGGCCTACATTTCCAGTGCAATAGATGTAAAACAATAAGCCTCCTTTCTTTATTTAGCATGTAAGGTCCCTATTAATTAAGAATATTAGGTCCATTCCTCCCTTTAAAACATGTATAAAATTTTTTCATAAATTAATCTAACATCAATTAGAAATCTTATTACATGCATAGAAATATTAAACCTTGATTTTAGGTCAAAAACTCATATTTTCAAAATCCCATTTAAGTATTGTTATAAAATACCTTAAATAAAACTAAATTAATCCTTGTCTTTTATTTTTCTCAAAATCCTTATAAAATTTGGGATATTAATTAAAACAATTCTATTTAAAGTAAAACTAGTCAAATTAATTCAATAGAAAATAAATTCTAGATAAATCTACTTAAATCGATTTAAAAATATTCATTATATAAACTTTTAAAACTTAGTTTATTTCTTTAAATAAAAGTCCCTATATTAAAAATTTATTTAAAACTAATTTAAGTAAAAATCATTATTTAAAACAATTTGAATTGGGAATTTACTAAAACATTTAATTTTTCCTCAAATAAATTCAATTATTCCAATTAAGCTATTTATTTATGGAATAAAATATTTTTAGGGATTATGGAAGATTGGTTCCAAACAATTGGAAAACTTGACAAATTAATTTCTTATACTTAATTAAATCTAGTCATTCATTTCATTTTATCCATTTCTTTCTTGATTGGTTAACTAATCCTTCCTTTATCCATTTAATTTCCCATTTCTATACCACATATTTATTAACTCATTTAATTTACATTAATTATTAAATAGTACTAACAATACACACCCATATTCACTTGTTAGTTAGTGTTGCGATAAATGATTAATTTATACACATTAGGATAAATCCTAACACACATACTAGGGTTCTAAGCAAGATATGGAAGAGAAGTTAGAACCCTCTAACTCATAACAAAAATTAAAGTACACTCGCGATAAGTGAGCTCTTCCTTGGCCATGACCATCATACTAAATCATTTCATATTTTCCTCACCTACACCAAAAGGGTAAAATGAGTTGTACCTAGCAAGTGTAATCGATACATGATATGCACATGATGCAATTTAAAAATCCTTTCATGCTTTTGAAATTCATTTTTCATCTTCGGGCGCACCATTCCGATTGTATATATAATCGATCCTCGGTTAAAATCGTGCAATTATGAAAACATATCAAAAGCACTAAGTAGCTCTCTATTACAATTACCATTTCCTTTTCCAATTCCATATAAGAGGGTGATCATTCCTCTTATATTCATTTAGAGGTACTTGGCAATTTTCTTTTAAAACCATCCATTTTTTTTCCTTTTCCTTTACAAAGCCATGAAAGAAAAATTTCATGAGTTTGGCATGAAGTGTATATGACAAGCATGCCTTACCTTATCATTTTCCATTTCATGCATTCTTGTTCATCATTGTGTATATGTCAATGAATCAATGAAACATTAAGATGAACTAAACACACCTCAAAATGCATGAATTCATTACAAAATCATATACATGCATTAACACATAAAATCTTCATCTTGGCCGAATATAGCCAATACATTTCGTTCTAAATATTCATTCATTTCTCAATCAATTTCACTTGCAATCAATCATAGGTAATAATAGGCATTCAAATCGTACTAATCCATCACCATTTAAACTATTAAACGATTAATCACACAAGTTTCATGTTAGTTGAATATATTTAATATCGAACCAACAAGATTTTTCACATCATTCACACCAAAATTGTGCTAATTTCCATCATAAAACCATAATCATCCATTAAATTCTAACATTCATATCATTTAGACACTTAATTAACAATGTTTGGTCGAATGTCTCACTCTTGTTGTTCCTTGAAATTTTTCATTTTAGATGCCTTTCAACTTAGCTAAATCATGTTATGAACATCAATTAAACAAGTCTCGCCATGAAAATCTATTAACCCTAAATTTGAGGGTGTGGTTGAATGTCCCTCTATCATTCAACCTTGAACAATTGTTTTCAATTCAACATGAATAAACATCATTCATCACCATCTAAACATAATTGAATGCATATTTCAACAAAACAACCGTTTCTCCTTAATTCTCCCTATTGGTCGAAACTATCATCATCCATAAACCATTCATTTTCAATCCATTCAACCAATTTCATACATCTCACATGCTTATTAAACCACTAATTCCATAAAATTCACATCAATTTAACTTAATTCAAGTAAACACAACAAAACTCGAAACATATAAACATACACCATAATTCCACAAATTCCATCAAGACATCAAAAAATCATAAAAAAACATGCTTTCCCTTATAGTGTACATTAGACTATACTTACCTAATTGTTCTTGATAATCAATTGAGCTTGAACTTGCAATTTCCTCTCCTTCTTCCTTCCTTTTTAGTTTCGGCCAAGACCTCCTTCTTCTCCTTTCCTTTTTTTTGTCCTCCTAAGGCTTCTAATGGTGTTTATATGGTTGTTATATGATGACTTGGGTGAATTTTTAGATTGGATAACACTAAGTTCACTTAATTCTCCTAAATTCTCTTTGGTTTCTCTAGACTTTCAAGTCATTCATCAAACCTCTCTTCTCTCTTGGTTGGTGGAATGTATAGGGAAAGAAATCATATGAGATCAAGCCATTTGAATGATGCTTGACTTAAGCTTATGTTTCTTAACCATATTATTTTCTTAACCAAGTTAATTTACTTAGTCATGTTAATTTCTTTAGCAATTTCCTTCCAAGTTGCTCGACCTTTGCTTTTCTACTTTTTTCTCTTCTCCTTAGCCGAACCAATCCAACTCTTAATTCTAGTTTCATTACTAGAATTCTAGTTCAATTTTAGCTTAGTAGAGTCGAATAAAATAGTTCTAAGTTTTCCAAAAAGTTATAATTTTGGTCTTTAACCTTTATAATTTAATTCAATCACATCCCTATAATTTTGGCTTCCCCACTTTTAATTGTAACATTCTAGCCCCCTTTTAAGATAATTTCAAAATTAATATTAGTCTATAAACTCTCACAATTAGTTAAATTAATTGGCCAAACTTTTAACCCTTACCATTATCTTCCTAAAAATAATCTAATTAAGCATCTAAAATTTTATTCTTTCAAAAAATAATCATCCACACTTACCCCATTATATTAAAATCATTTCCTATATATCTCCTAATATTTATTTGCGGATAAAAAATATTTTTGTGCACATAAAATATTAATTCACACATTTAATTTAAACTAATAACTCTTTAATTAAATACTCATGCACCAAAAAAAAAAAAAAATGTTCCTCCTTCCATACATACATACATAATTATTTAGGAGGTTTTTGGTCAAGGATATTGCAAACTTTGTCACGTAGAATCCATATGGCATATTAACTACAAAATGTATCAAAAAAATCATAAACTTTATATTTTTTTAATCATGTTAGCTTGTGTTTTTTAATTTTGGATAGAAAGATCATGAACTAAGCTTCTATTAACCAAATTAGTACGAGTGAACTTTTTTAGCTTGAATTCCAACCAAAGCCGACATGGCATGTGATGGAGCATGACAAGCATAACTAACTTTGCCAAGTAGGATTTTATGTAGGATTCACATGGCTTATTTACTACTTAGTAATGAACCATGTGTTGATCACTGCCCCTAATCCAATTTAAAAAATCACAAAATTCAATTAAAAAACCTTAATCCTCCTTAAAAGAGACAAAACCTCCTTCTCTCCCAAAAATCTATCGACATTAACCTTTACTTCACCACCGACAACCACCACCAATCATCACCCAACTAGTACCATCTCTCCCGTTCTCATAAACCCACTTGAAACCCATCAAAAACCATCTCTCCCATAATTGATCAACACCCTTCATGCTATTCCTCTTCACCAAAATTAGACCCACCATTAGAACTTCATCTCCACTAACCTCAATGCCATCACCATTGTGTCTCACTTCATCGAATTGTCCATCATAAGTCATCATCCTCGCCAACAACCACTACTCCTTTCGTCATCCACTCTCCAATAGCCACAAAACTTCCTTACATCCATTGACCTCTTTAAGACCAGCCATTCCTCAACGGATGTCAAAATCAGCCATTAACACTAGCTACAACCACTTGTCTTCACTACCATTTCTTTCTTCCGATATCAGCATGCAGACCCCTTTCTATCCAATTGTTGAGCTTACTTTAGTATAGGTTGAGCCAATGTTCTACGGTTGTGCTCGAGGCCTTGGTAACCAATGATGCATGCATTTAGACATGGGTTTTGTAATTTGCATTTGCAAGAACTAGTTAATTTTGTTATCCCTCCTCTTTTTTGCTCTTTCACTTTGATTTACACTAGGCCTAATGATTGTTAATCGATGCTCATTTGCCTTTCTACTTGATTTGTGATTTCTTCACACTTTTGAAGGATATCCATATATGCATAAAGAGCCATAAATTATTATTCTATTATGATATTATCTTTTAGTTGATGATGGATGTTCTATTTCCCGACTTCATTTCATTTTCTCGCTCAAAAAGGCTATATTAGTTCTTAAGTGCTTGTTTGCTGAGTTTATGCTAATTTCTTATAAGTCCTTCTAATCCTATGCTTTTATATTTGTTGATGTTTCCCTCAAGCTCATTATTTTTAACCATACTACCACTACAATACTTCTATTTATTGAGTGCCTTGCTTGATTTCTTCTTAATGCTTTTTCTTGGATCACATTGTTTATTTGATTGCTAGGTTTCAATAATGTTTTGATGCTTAATGATCTTATCTCTCGTCACTATGGGTTGGAAAGATAGAGGTTTGGGCTTTCCAATAATATTGAGGTTTGAAATGACAAGAATGAAGGGTTATGGTTTTTTTTTTTAATGGGTTTGAGGATTTTTTTTTTTTTTTTTTTTTTTTTTTACTTGGGTTAGGAAGGGAGTGATTGACATGTAATTCATTACTAGATAGTTAATAAGCCATGTGGATCCTACGTGACAAATTTAGTCATGCTTGTCATGTTCCATCACATGCCACATCGACTTTGGTCGGAATTTAAGTTGAAAAAATTCACATGTACTAGTATTGTTACCAAAAGCTTAGTCCATGACCTTTCTATCCAAAATTCAAATGACGAGCTAATATGATTAAAAAATGTAAAGTTCATGATTTTTTTGGTATACTAAGCCAATTATTTAGGTAGAATTTAATTTTCTGATTTCATAAAAACTCACGAGACTCAAATACAGCTTTTCCTAATCTATGCAAGTGCATCTATACAATAACTAGCAAGTGACTTGCAAAAAGTTATGGTTTTTTTTTTTTAATTTTTTTATATTTTTCAATATATAAAAATTATTAAGATTTATTTTGATTATGCTAATATGTGTGGAAGTTTTATTTTTATTTATTTATTTATTTTTGGAACAAATGTGTGGAAGTTTTATTACAAACATATTTTTAATATGACAATGTAAATGATATAAGAATATTATCTAATTAATATCATTCATCTCATTTCTTTTTCCAAGGTAAAAATTTGGATCTAACTATCAAATAAATTTTAATATTCCTAATAAAAAATTAAATTTTTAAAAAATGACGCGCTACACATCATTAGAATTAAGAAAAATTTCCAAAATTCTAAGAAAAAAATAAATACTTGAAACTTATCTTAATACTTAAAATTATATATAAGAGAAGAGAGAGTGTGTGTGTTACAAATGTGTAATGCTATTGAGATTTTAATTTTAAATTTTTTAATTTTTTTGGTCATGTTAGACATTTGATAATTAGTTTTTAATATTTTATTTAACTATTAAATGGAAAATAGATATTGCAACCCTTGTTAGTCATCATGAGTTTATTAAGGAAATAATTATAGTTTAATAATTAAATTATTAATCATTCTCTTTAGCTATTATATAGAAGAAAAATTATAATAATATTAATACAATCAATAATTGTGATATATAATTTTAATTATTATGAATACTTATTATAATCATTACTAACCATTATATAATCGTTACTAGCATGATGTGAGTTTATTCAAAAAATAATTTTATTTTATTAAAAATAATATAATAATTGTAAAATGAAAGTAGTGGGAAGTGATGTCTTTGACACCTAACATGTGCCATGTGGATTGGGAATTTTGTTTTTTTAAATATCAATTAGCTTTTAATACTCTCTTTGTCTATTAAATCAAGAATAATTACAGTAATATTAATAGGATTAGTGAGTGTGATATTGAATAATTTTAATTATTATTAATAGTTACTACAATCATTACTAGCACTTATATAGTCATTACAAATTTACTAAAAATTTATTATAGTTTAATAATTAATTTAAGATTTATTCTCACCTCATACAAGTATAAATATTCTTGAGTATTTGACAAGGGAAGAGAAATAAAATAATGATGTTTTCTCCTTTTTTTTTTTTTTTGTTTTTTTTGTTTCTTTTAGTTTTCAAACACAATTATCTTTCAAGGAGTGGCATTGAGCATTCATGTGTGCATTTGTATTACGAGTGCATGCTTGCATATAATTGGTTGTTCTACAACGAAATACTCTTCAATGATATAAATCTACTTTACTTTTCTATCGATATTTTTATTTATCCCACTATATTTTATTTTACCAACAACCGACTCTTATTCCTTCAAAAATTTATGTTACATATCACAAAAGCTTTCATTTTGACTTGATTTCTAAGTAAAATATGTAACCCCCTGTAAAAACTCTTATCCGTAACGAGACGTGTATTAGAATAATTCTATATATACGTATATTAAGAGTAAGTGTAATTCTCATTTCATCATGAGAAATTAATGCTTGAAATATGTGATTTATGTTAAATTAAAGTTATTGTGATTAAGATTAATGGTTTAATTATTAATGAAATCAAATATGCAAAATCGGTGTTTTAAGGACTATATTATGCCCGAGTTTTGTGTGAATTATTTGAGGACTTTAGGGTGATTTTTGGGTAAGCCTTAAAGAATGAAAGTTGTTCATATATGTGTTGAATAGACCTTTATAAAAGTTTATCTTTTTTGGACCTATAAATTAAGATTTATATCCATTATGGGGAGGGTTGTTTCGAAATGCATTCTCGCTGGAATCTCGAGAGAAGAATCATGTCCGAATCTTGTGAGATTTATTTGATGGTGTTAAATTGATGTTTGAGAAAAATTTAAAGAATAAAATTTGTTTTTCTATATGTCTACTAGCTCTCTATAAAAGTTCATAAGTTTAAAATATACATAAAAAGAGTTATGCATATTTTAGTATAGATGGGTTAGGAGGTAACACTCGCTAAAACTTTGGAGAAAAAGAAATTCTGAATTTTAAAAATGGAATTTCTGATTTTTTTATGAAAGAAAGTAGGTTTAGTTACTTGAATTAAGTTAATTAGTGAGTTTAATTAGTCTAAATTTTATGTAGACACCTAAACAAATGCAATAAATGAATTTAAGGCCAACTCACCCATTATGGTCCCAAAGCGACCACCTTTCCCCATGATTCACACATAACTTTTACACCTTGTCCCATTAATTTCTAACACTTGTAGATGAAGGGAAGTAAGTATATATATATATATATATATATATATATATATATATATATATATATAGCAAGTGTTAAAATGGTGAGAAAAATTTTAGCAACCCATAGGTACCAAAAATTGGGAGAGAAAAGGCAAGAAAGAAAAGAAAGGAAAAAAAAACGTGAGGAGAGAAAGGAAGGGAAAGGAAAAGAGAGAAAGAAAAAGGAAGGGAAAGGAAAAGAAAAGAAAAGAAAAGCTAAGGAAACCTAAACACATCTAAGCTAGGTAAGTGGGTTTTACTTCATGCTTGTTCTTTCAATGAATTTAATTCATGTATTTAATTAAGTTATTGCTTGTATTGTTATGGTTTGATTTGTATTGGCTTGGTGTGGATGGCTTGGTTTGAATTTATTGGTTATATTGTCTCTATGTGCTCCTTGAAGTCTATCATCCCTAGTGTATATTTTCTCATGTGTTGATGATTGTGGGATAAAAAAATTTAAGGACTTGGACCGAAAATGGGGATGAAGAAATTGGAAGAGAAATAAAGGAATGCTTAGGGCTTTCTTAAAAACCCATTCGGCCTAGGAATCCCAAAGTGAGCACAATTGGATTTCTTTTATGAACTTTAAGGCCTATAACCACTGGTAATCCAATTAAGTGCAAAATAATAAGCTAGAGTGGAAGAGATTTAATAAAAATGGAAGGAAAACCTTAGGCTATTTTTAGGACTTTATGACCTTCCAACCTTGTGATTAAGAGTTAAATTACATTTAAACAAGTGTAGAATAAAATACTAAGAGGTAAGAATTCAAGAGTAAAATCGAATTCATGACCTAGGCCCATTGGGGATAAAATTTGGCTATAAATACCCAAGCTAGGGTTAGGAAAGAAATCCTAATTTGGTATGTATGGATTAGTTAGTCCCAACCATCCGAGTCTTATGAGTAGTGATTTAATAGTACCTAGAATAGAATTTTACCTTGCTATGCCACAAAGCAACCCTTAAAATCAATGGCCACGTAAATCAAGTGAAATGACGAAACTCATCGAAAATAACTAATAAAGCATGTCCACGTGCAAAAGAAAATTGGTGGCCACATAAATCAAGTGAAATGATGAATCTCATCGAAAATAAGCGAGAAAGCGTGCCCACACGCAAAAGAAAATTGATGGCTAGACTATTACTAGTCGGCGGTGATGGGCCCTTTTTGAGGGAATACGGTGTAGGAATGGTATGAAAATGTATGAAAACCCCGTGTGGGTCGGACCTAAGGAGACCCCGTGTGGGTCGGACCTACGGGAACCCTATATGGGTTAGATCGATGAAAATATCTAAAACCGAACCTTGTATGGGGAAAGAATTTATAGTGTAAGGTTGGTGCCCCTAGTATGTTTAACACGATAAACATAACATCACGTGCATCATGTGCATAG